CGACTCGCAACCCAACCACACAGCGTGCTCCTTAAATTCAGCTTTGAATTACTTCCCGCTATGCCAAGCGTTGCTCGCGGATCTCAGTAGCATAGTGTTCAGGGCGTCAGCCATGAACTACTAAGCTCTGAGTTCCAACCCAACTCAAGCTATCTCCACCTGACAAGTCTAAACCAAGACGAAACCGCGTTCGTGGTGTGTCAGTGTTGGGAACAGCAGCACCTAAATATATCCAGTATGGGTTAATTTTTGAACAAACAGTATTGGAGAAGCTGCCCTTTTCGTTTCTTGATTGGATTGACACTTTTGATTGAAACATTCACGACTGATTACAAGGAAATAAGTTAGATCAGAGGACGCGGAATGGTGAGGACCAACTTTTGCCATTGGGTTTGCAGGTTGATGTCCCCAACTCAGAGTCTGCTTCGGAGACAGCAGCTTCTCTAGCGTACCTCAGTGAGTATCTGATGGATTTCACTAGCAACATACTCGCAGAATCGCGACACACTTGGGGCTATGAGTGAGAAGATATTCATCAGAAGGCTTGCGGAATTCCCTAAGAATTCATTGCCGAGCGGTAGGTCTTCCCAATATCATTTTCAAGTAGCTCGCGATGTATTCGAAACCGTTGTGCCGTACCACAGCTGTCAGTGAAGTGACCTTGTGTATTGAGGAAGGGGGATTCTTTGATGGTGATTCAATGTATCAGGTTGCGATGCGGATTTCGACAAATTTGGCACTACAGTACTCCCTTGCTACTCCATCCTCCCGACAGGCCGATCTACCTAAAATACTAGTAAGGTGCTCCTTTGACTCTAAAGTTGCAGTCACTTAGATTACCAACTCAGCTAAAGCGATATCTACCATTCAAGGTTGTAGCAATAGTTAGTAAGATTCACGGCAGAATGAGACACACGAAAATAAAAGGCGTGCTCTTCCTTTATTACTGTTTATTAAATCGTTGAAGGTAACCCTTGTATACGAACAGTGCTGCCGTTAATCAGACATGAATTTTCCAGCAGGGATGTCTAAAACTCTTGTAGGTTACTAAGGGAATCAGGATGTTTTGTGGAGACCAGGGAATAGAGCAGACATGTATTAAATTTTTGATGTAAACGCACTGTATTATTACTCACTTCCACTTCACTCTCTAGAGAGACCTTTAACGCGTTGTATTCCTCAGAATGCTTGGTTCGAAGCTCGTCCAGTTCCTTGTCAAACTCCTCCGCTGTGGCTCGGTGTTGCTCCAGGTAATTCACCTACATTGTAGGGTATCCGGATGAGTATAATAATGGTGTGTGAGGTGGACATTACACAATTTAACATCGACACGCAGTCGTCCGCAGGGAATATGTCGGGTTGTCTTTGGCGTCCACATATTATACTGAACTCTGGGCACATAATGTCATATTGGCTTAGACAGAACCTCATACTTGTTGGAACAACGAGACACCGAAGGACATTCACAGCGACTGCACACTTAGTGAATTGCACCAATGTTATTTTAGCAACTGTAAGGCCTGAAATATTAAGTCCCATCCACTTAGTAAGTGACGCTTAGGTTGAGAACAATATGCGGTAGTAGTATTATCTGCGTTACCAAACATAGAGACAAGTACAAAGGAAAAGTTGGAATATGAATCAACGTTCAACATGGTACAAGTCTTATCCAGAAATGCTAATCGACGATGAAGCAAGCCATTAGTCCTATACGATACGGGTTATGACAGTAAAAATGAATGCTTTTCTTGTGTGTTCACAGGCACTAACATGAGGACCATGTGAATTCTGGCCTGTACTTCTTATTGACGTAGTCTCTCGTATAAGACAAATAAACCATTTATTTGTTTAGGTACTCATTAGTAGGAGAATTTCGATCTTGTTAATTGTGAAATGCACCGCATCAGCCTCCAAATCAGATAGTTCTCTAAGTCCGGGAAAGGAACTAGGCTGCAGTTTCAGCTGTTGAGCATCATCACACACATATTTCGGGTCTGGCAGCATTACTTTTTGAAATTTTCTGATAGCCCCTAATAGTCAGCCAAAGTGTGACAATTGCGGGCGCACTGGTGCCACTATGTATTCGGCGATTGATTGACATTGGGTATGTTGATCAAGACAACTTAACCACTTCGTGGTTCAGACCGTTCCTCAAGAGTAGATAAAGCCACTGTATTCCATGCTACAGTTTGACAACCAGTCTCCAACTTCTCCAGGTTACTGTTTCGGAGAAGCCGAGTAAATTGGCACCAGACTTAGCGAAGTTGCTGTTAAGTACTATGTTTAACACCGCCACTACTTCTGGTGCCTTCGGATTAACTACTCCGGTTGCACCGCTAGATCCATAGACGAATTAGCTCGTGTGACAGAGGATCCATCATCCTCACTCACTGGACGCTACCGTAAGTACATTTGACCGCAAGCGGGCAGCTCTACTCAGATTTCGATGCAACATTTCGGCAAAACCGATTGTCCACCTATTAGCTAACTATTCATACATGCGTGAGATATCAATTGCAGTCTTGGTGCCCAGTATAGTTTGTTATGAATGTATACTTTTCAACTATAAGAAGAATCAGAACAGTTGAAATTGGTGCTAAACATTAGTTAAATATCTCTTTGTACGCCTCAGTGTGTCACCCTTTAGATCAACAGGTAACGTTGTATTTAATCGCCACCTCGGTGCTATTTATGTACACTCCAAGTCATCCAATGCGTACCCGAATTTTTGTTACACAAAGCACAGGTATCGGAATTAAGGTAACAACATCGCTACACAGCTCCACACAGTGGATTTTATCGATGGCATCAAAGTAGATGGAGTACTTCTATATCAAGTGCATACAATGGCTCTGACTGAGTCGTTCGACCTTCCTATAATCAGTTGTACACATTTATATGTGCCTAGGTAGGCACAAATTGGGGATCAACTAACTCACCTGTTTTCGAATCACTTCCGCCATTAACTGTTCCCATTCTGCCTTCTGTTCAGCAATCAGTTTGTCTTTTTGTGCCACCAGTGCGTTCTGTGAATTATGAGAAATAAAAGATATATTAAAGCGCATGAACTGGAGGAATACAACAACCTTACCTACACAAAAAGACAAGGAAGTATGGACAGGTAATTGAGGCGATAGACCAGTGTTGGTTACCATAGTGGCCGGTGATTTGCAAAACTTTTTTCATTAAGCATGTCAATTGTAAAGTGGCAAAGCCGATTTGACAGAAAGCACGTAAAAAGGTCTGCTGCGTACATACTTCAGACCTGAAGCAAATCACAGGTGGATAAGGTTTTCAAAGTAGTCACCTTTTCGATACAGTGACAATTATAGGGGAATATCTCTTTTGGTCTGCTAAGAGACAGATAGATGGTCTTTTAGAACTGCAAAGAACTACTGCCTATATGAACCAATATGAAATCCAAACTTTTATTTGGACCAATATTCAGATCCTGGTCTTCCAGTGGAGCATGATGGTTAAATGTAGGCGAAATCGTTTTGTAGGTGGCGATTGGCATACAAAACGGGCACCAAATCTACACGGTGACACCAATTAACGCCTAAAGGGAAAGCTCACGCACAATGTAACCTAACGTAATATCACACAAAAATCATTCAAACCGGCTTTTGGGTGAAACGACAAATATAGTTCTTTTGGAGATAGAACAAACTAATTCTCGGTTAGTAGCAACGAAGCACACAGTGAGCAACAAAACAACTGATGTGCAAACACAGCAAAGTAATGTGCAAGATAGCACTTAGCTGTCTGCTTAGGTTACAACACACAACCCGAGTTAGAACAGAGGGGTAGTGACGATGCAGTACATCCTGGCATGGGTCATGTTTTAAATGATAGCAAGGTAGTAGCTGACATGAAATAGGCAAAAATAAAGGGTAATGAGAAGTCTGCACTTTGTGTTCCACCTTCAGAACTACTGAGTTGTAGGTGGGCAGGTCGCAGTCAATGATTTCGAACATCAAGCCATCAGTTTAAATTGATGGTGAATCCTGCATGAAAAACAAGCATTACGCAGTTTCGACAATTTTCTGCCACATTAGTGGTCGACCTAACATGAGTGCGTTGTGCTACGAAATGATTACAGAAATGTTATACAAACGTTAGGTAAAAGAATGGCCGCGATCAATCAGACGTCGTCAGCGACTTGGTTTCTTGGGTGACCAATCGTTTTACGAAAAAGGTTGTTGGGTTACTGAAATCTTTCGCATACAAGTTGTGTCGTGTTTTACTACCAATAACCCGTTTTTACAATTTGCGATGTTATCGTGCACGAAGATATACGCGATGATGGTGGAAGAACAGCCGCGTTATCCATGATGCACGACAGTAACGTCTGCACTCCTTATTTCTGTCTGGTAAATCAGGTTCAGTAGGATCGTTGTTGCTCGTAGTCACTTCCAACGGGTGCTTTGACTGCATCTGAGACTTTAACCCCAAGTCAGTGAAATTCAGGATTGCCACTTATTAAATGTGCATCCCATGAGTTAACGCTGGTATGGCGATGCGCTTCTGATTTAAAGATTTTCAACATGTGTATATTTGTTGACTATAATAACTTCTAGTCGAATACTCTGTCGGACACACCAGTATAAGCGACGCAACATTACAGTAAGCTCAGTGTTATAACAAGTACTCAGTGAAAATAGGAGATCCTTGTTGAGAGAACTGTCAACATGACTGTATAAGCCAACACTGAATTGACAGAGTGAGCTGCAACGCAATCCATACGTGTTTTCTCCCCTCTTGTGAAGTAGCACCTCTCACAGTTACTAAAGGATATGAGATGCCATACGCGATGATTTTCTTTATAAGCAAAGTATCCAGCAATTATGACTGCACACCTCAAGCAATACTATTTATAATACTTGCTCCTCATAAGTAGCACGTGATAACATGCCAACAGACGTCACGTAACGAGAATACATGTCCTTAACAAAAAATGCCAAATAAAGGACTATCAAAGTAACGTAGATTTCAGATGTTTGGAATCGAAGGCGGTTGATCGGCATGGATGGCGCGATCTGATCAACATGGCAGCTGCTGATGTGCAGGTGTGGATTGTACCCATCGAAGTCGAGCGCATGGTGTTGTAACACATGCGACCGTGAGTGCCTGAGTCATGGAGATCTAGTAAGCCACTAGCGATGCCACTAGGGACAAGTATCTAAACGACGACGGGTGCTGCTCAGAACCAAAGGAGAACCGGCGCAGCGTTGGCAGGTAAGCTGCATGCGCATATATATACATATATATATATATATTTATATTTATATATAAAATGGACAAAACCGAATTCGGATTCATCTATCACTGTGGCCAGCCACAGGACGCCTACGACTACAGAGGGATCACACGTGGCTTCCGCTGCATCACCCACAGCTCCAACCACACACCCCACATCCAGTGTAAAACCGAAGGAATCAAACCGGGGGGGGGGCAGGTAAATGGGAGACACGTTTCATCAACAGAGCCGGCTCACACTCCTTCACAGGCAAACACAAGCACGCTGTATTTGGGAATCAAGCGCACACAAGGTGGTGGCTGGACCGTAGTCCGCTCCACACTAAGTGCATGAAACCACTCTTCGAGCCTAGCACGGCCACAAGGACCGTGCACCCCGTCCCATTCAGCAACGACCAACTGTCTCCTGGAGCCAGTATGGACGAGGTAGTGGGTAATAGACAGGTAGGCACCTTGTCAACATGCACATCAAGCGCAGCCACACCGGGGATATCAAACAACAGCCAATCACTTGAGGGAAAGATAACCAAGAAAATAAGTCGAATAATGCATAAGGAAACGGTGACATAAATCTTAAATTAATGAGCATATGAAATAAGTTGTCTACAAGCGAATCAGAGATCAGTTCACGAGGTCAGGAAGTTTATTTTACGGAAATGACACAAACACGAAAATGTTATCGAACTTAACTACAATTCGCTTAAGTGACGTGTGCAAGTGTATAGAAGAGAGTATAACTAGATATTTATATGTGAAAGAAAATATTCAGACAAAATTGAAAACCCATCAACTGAAATAAATAGACTTAGCATGCAAGCACGCTCTTAGTACATCGAATGCCGCGCATCTACAAACGCTGCGCCGGTTCTGCGTTCGTTCGATGCAGGGCCCGTCGTCGCTTCGGTAGTGGTCCCGAGTGGTCTCGCTCATGGCTGACTAGGCCTGCTTGACTCATGCACTCGCGACCGCGTGTGCTACGGCACCATGCGCTTGATGTCGATGGAGTACAACCCATCGGTGCTCGCCGCTTCCGCAATTGCCGCTTCTCCTCTGCATGTATGAGCTCTTTCACCTGCACTTCGGCAACTGCCTTCGTGATTAAATCGTGTCATGCACGCCGATCAACCGCCTTTGATTCCCATGACCTGCAAACAATATTAGAACGTGAGAGGCTCACTTTGATCATGTCCTGGTAGCGTAACTTTGGTTTCCCCACATGCCGCTTCCCAACACTCAGCGGACTATATAAGAGCAGTTTCGGTATCCGCGTTCAATCCATACGGCTCACATGACCGAGCCACCTCAGGTGTCTCAGCAAAAGTATACAGTCCACTGCATACATCCCACTTTGTCGCAACACTTCCGTATCTGCAATTCTGTCGCCCCAAGTGATGCGCAAAATTCGTCGCATACACTGTCAAAGGAACCGCTCGAGATATCGCACATCGCGCCGGTATATCGTCCACGCTTCACTGCCGTATAGAAGAACGTACAGCACCATGGATGTGTACACCATCGGCTTGATGCTGACGGTAAGCCGATGGTTGTTCCACACTCGGTACTCTAGCTTCTCAAATGACGCCGCTGCCCTCAACACGCGGATACGAAGCTCACTGTGAAGCTCCTGATCAGTCGACATCACACTCCCAAGGTAGCTGAAGCGGGTGGCGGTTTCTAAAACCTCATCAGCAATGCTGATTGGCAGCAATACATTTGATTGCACCTCCGGTGAAGGCTAAAAGAGACAGACAGTTTTGCTTGTGCTGATGGTGAGCCCGAATTTGGCCGCTGTCGAAGCCAGAGCACTAGTCATTTGCTGCAACTCATCCGCGCTGTGTGAAAACAACGCACAGTGGTCAGGAAACAGCAACATACGGATAGTTGTCTCACAGACTAGAGTTCTCGCACTGAAACGACGGATATTCAGCAACCCACCATCAATACGGTGCTCCAAAAGAACACCGTAAGCACAAGCGGCATCAAAAGCCCAAGACATCATTGCATGAAGATATATATTAAACAAGGCAGGGGCTAAGACACAGCCTCGCTTCACACCAGAGACAACTGCAAAGTCATCCGAGATCTCTCCACTCAGCTGCACCCTCGCTCGCAAACCACTATGCAGACATTCAATTAAACTTACAAACTTACGCGGGCAATCAAACTTACCCAACACCAGCCACAATGTCTCGCGGTTCACCGTATTAAATGCCTTGGTGAAACCAACAAAAAGCGAGTACAAAGGCTGATGTCGTTCTCTGCATTTCTCCTGCAACTGATGAGCCGCAAAAACCATATCGATTGTGTTGCGACCCGAACGGAATCCACACTGCTCTTCCGCCACGTCAGGTTTCACAACTTGACTGACAAAGCGGTTGAGCATGATTCGGGCAATCACCGTGCATATATATATATATATATATATATATGTATATATATATATTGAGATAGAGAGAAGCGGGAGAGCCTATGGTGCTCTGAGGCTGGTGGTGGCTAGTTTCAGACAGATGGTCTACCCACTGCTGCTACTGTTGCGCCATTGGCTCATGTCCTGGAAGCCTCCTCGTGGCGACCGCTGGGTGGG